AAATATTGAGGGATCACATTGGTCTTCCTGAAGGGAAACCTGAAGAGAGAGCCCATGTGGATAGCAGAGTGGACCAGACCAGAGCACCAGGAGTCAGCTGCAGCCTGGGACCACAGACTCAGTCTGATGATGAGCCCATAGTGCAGAGGGTGGGAAATGGCCATGTAGCAGTCATAGGACATGACCACCAGGAAGGCAAATTCCACTGCCACACACAGTGTGAAGAGGAAAATCTGTGCAGTACACTCTGTCAGGGAGATCATCTTACTGCCAATCGTAGAATTCCTTACAGCTTTGGGAACAAGAACTGAGATGCTGCCAATGTCTGGGATGGCCACATTTCTTATAAAATAGTACATAGAGAGTGCAGACGTGTGTCTGTCATGATGACAGTGACAGTTATAAGATTCCCTGTTAGTGCTCCCAAACAAATCACTAAGAACAGCTTTCCAAAGCTCAGAGATGTAGAATCATGTATTCTGGAACCATGAAAGTCACCTTGTCCTTTCTTTATACAGGGAAAGATAAGGTTCAGTAGGAATTTTTAATCCATAGATTCTTGAGGAAGCTTAGCTCTCCTGTGTCTTGGTCCCTTTGTGCTCAGCACAGCACAGTACCTGTGGAGAGTACTTCATTTTTCAAATGCACTTTAGCAAACAGTTCTGGAGGTCAGAGAGCATGGCAGGGGCATTGGTGCTGGTGAGTGGCTGATGGGAGAGAGACCAAGGGGAAGAGGAGAGTAGAAGAGAGGAGAGGAGAGAAGGGAAGGTGAGGGAAGGGGAGTGAAAAGGAAAGGAGAAAAGAGAAGAGGACTGGAAAAGACCTCAGCTTGGTCTATTTAAACAACCTATTATTTTGATAAACAATTGATACTTTGTTACTCTTTTCTGAGGATTTTACCAATAAATTATTTAACTGTCACTAGGGCCCACATCCATAGGTTTTGTAATCTCCTGTTACCCTTACACTGGGGAGCAGGCATACAAATTTTGGAACACAGACTGCATACAATCCCCAGGATCAGGTTAGACAGAAGCATTTTCCTGATTTTAAAGTTTCTCTGGTTTACTTCTAATGAGTTTCATTGATGTAGAAAATGCAATGTTTTATACTTTAGTGTTAGGGTTTTATGTTCACACACTCAGATTGTTAACTTTAGTTCAGCACCAAGCAGATACTACACTGATGGCTTTATGATTAAATTACACCAGAAATTGAATAAGAAAACCAAATGAATGATAATGCAGTAGTTTAGAGAAAGATTCACATCACTTACCTCTTAATCTTCAGTAGCATTCAAGTGTATCTTAGAATCTGATAATGGAGCCTCAGAAATGCACATTACTAGTGCTTCCCTAAAGGTGGAAATGAAGGCCCAAGGCATCCAACAGGGACCTCCCTTCTGTGCTTCCCCAGGATGCATTTTTTCTGTGAGGGATGTGACTACCCACTGTTCATGTGGGCAAGTGGGGCAATGACTGGAAAGAGACTTAATTAGTACCATTTTCACTCCATGGCTAATTGAAATTGATTATTTTTCTATAACTCTTAATAACCATGAAGAATAATTTAGCCCATATAAGTGGGCATCGTTTTTGAAAATATTCCTGCACTGGTTTTGAGTAAATGTAAATAAAATTACAATAAGATATCTATCTCAAACATTGGATACTATCACTAAATCTATTGCAAAGACCACAGTTGCCCAGAAAACTCCAATTCTCTTGCTAAATTTGATTTAGTTAATGTGACTTTTTTGTACAATTCCATTAGTGAACAGGGTAGAATGAGGTGGCAGCCAACACCTCCTGCCGTAGCTGGATAAGTGCATCTGGTGTGGTAGAATCTCTGCCGGAAGAACCCAAAACCCCAGATACTTATGTCAACAATGCAAGCCCTTATGGCTCATTTAGGGTATATTTCCATTTGCTTCATGGATTCATGAATGCTCTTGCTGAGTATGCTCAGTCACATAGTTATTACCTCCCCTCAGAAGTTCCAATTGTCTCCTGTTGTGCTCTGTTTCTCTAGGTGTTGCATGCTCATATATCTGGCATATGTCAGATTTTCTCACCAAGGTTAGAATAGTGAGCAAAATAAGAATGTAAAGAATCACCCAACTAACTGGATGTTATCAATTGTAACTTCCATTCTTGGAACAAATACATAAATTATCATGGTATCAAATAGTGGCATCCATGCTCAAGGATTCTGCCAGTTTTTGATATGTTATACTGTGTCAGGAGCCACCTAGAGGGTTAGTAAAGTACATTTCTGGGTGTTTCAGGGTCATGAAGATATGACCTGAAGGTCTATATTGAGTCTGTGACCCCTTCTTCTCATGCTGTTTTCTTGATGTTTCCTGTTTTTTTTTCCCATGCCTTTTTGCTATGATCTCCCTGTCTTACAGCCAGGTGACCAAGGACTGAATTCTTTGAATCCAAGAGCAAAATTAAACCTCTGCTCTTTTAAGTTGTGGGGAGATATTTGCTGGCACAGATGAGAAAGCTGACCAACTTAGGTTATAGGGACCAGGATTAGGGGCTTCCTAGACCTTCCAGAACTCAAATTTACAAAACTGGAAGACTATAAAAATTAGTAATATATTTGAAATGTCAATCCTGAGATGAATAAGCATAACTTTTATTACATAAGAAGCAATAGTGACATACTAATGTTTTCCTAAATTCAGCTAAATCATATTGACTTCAGCATTTCAGAAATCATTGCATGTGTTTCACTGAATTCCTTATTTGTCCATTAAACCATGTCCTGATATTTACTCTGGTAGATCTCCTTATTGCCCTGCAGTGCACAAGTCAGATAAATGCTGTTAAACTATATTCTTATTTATACAAACTGCCAGAACTGTGTATTCAAAAATGTTGCATATAAGTAAACTAGGAATGAATAATCTTCTCTGTATTAGGAGGGAGGGGAATGTGAAGTTAGTGTTTCCCAGATGTAGAATTTCAGTTGGGAGGATGAAAAATTTTAGAAAGGAAGAGGTATGAGAATGTCTCTGGTACAAATCTCTGAAAGTGCTAAAGTGTGTGTTTAAATAAAATTTCCCATAACCTACAATAAGCATCATCAATGGAATGATATAAAACATCAGAAACTCAATGGTGTGATTTTGTTGGGACTGTGGAACAATAACTTTTTTCATGAACAGAAATTGGAAAAGGAAAATATTACATAGAATGAGTAATGCATTTGAGTTACAGAGTTCCTGGGTCCTCTGCCACATGAGGCCATCTGTCATAGTGATTGTCCATGGGTGGCATGAAGGATGAGAAGATTATTTGGAGATGAGACTTGGTTCAGTCACCAGACAGCCCAGAGGGGCTGTTTCTTCACAGAGAGAGTGCCCAGTCATCAGGGTGACTCTGGGAGAAGGAAGAGCACCCCAAGAACCCTGTGGTTTTTATTAGGAATCTTAGTGTAAGAGAAAGAGCAGAAGAAAAGTAGTTTGGGCCAGGAGCTGTCTCAAGGCTGGGCAGTTTCCTATGGGGAAGGGGAAGGACATGGCCAGACACAGCATGCTTTACTAACCTAAACTTCTTGTTGTTTACCCATTCACTCCTCACAGCCTGTGTGCTTTTGCCTCATGGTGTAATTATTTGTGTGCTTTTGCCCCATATTTTAAAAATTCCCTCCTCATAAAGCCTGTGCTTTTGCCCCACATTTTCACCATTCAGTTTAATAATTCACTCCTGGCCAGATCCCCCACATTTCCCCCTTTTTGTTTTGTAAAATGAGGCATGAGGAGGAAGAGAAAAATAGTGTCATGGGTACTGGGCCTCGTGCAGGAAAGTCATCATGGGCTCAGCACATAGCATCTGCTGGAATACCATACAAAGGGCCTTGAGGATTATAAGAAAAAACACCAAAAAAGATAATTCAAACAGTAATAAGAATCCAATGTGAAGGTTGATGCCAGAAAGCCAAATTTTTGAGTTGATCCAGCAGGTGATATCATTAAGGTAACTTAAGATGAAATTGCCAGCTTCCGCTGTGATTTATGAAGTTGGGCCTGTGGTCAGCCCTGGAGATTAGTAATATCTCCATCCAGATTAGTGTGAAAGGAAACAATGAGAAGGTGTGGGACTTCCTCTTAGGAATCTAAATGGCTAAATGCAAGAGATGCAATGCATATAAAATGATAAATGTCATCACAACTAAGTTCACTGTGTGTCTAAAGTGCTTCTTGATGCTTCTTGAGCCTGATTCTCTTTTCATCAGAAAGTGCTATTTGTGTAATTACAAGTGTCAACCACTGGAATAGTCAGAGTGGGTGTAGACCCTCCCATAGTCCTTACAGCACCAGGAGGTGGAGTTAAATTTTGTCTGTTTGAGAGGTGTCATTAGAGGAAAGAGGTGTTTTGGGATTTTTCCATGGGACTATATCTAAGACAGGTGAGGTAAGAACATGTGTCCCATAAACCATGTCACTTAGTTGAGGTGTATATGTCAGCAAACTCAGAAAGATAAGGAGGCTTTCTACCTGTGTAATTTTGGATTTGTACGTGACTTACATGATTGTTGTGAGAAACAGGTTTTTAGAAGTGAAGGGAATTCTTATGCTTTCAGCATGTGTTCAGCTTGAGTGATGAATTGCTTTTTTTGTCTGGTTGTAAAACCTCATGAATTACAAATTTAAAAATTTAAAGAAAAGAGATACTTGTTTGTGGGGGAGTTCCACTTCCATATACCCCCTTTTTGTTTTAATAAATGGGTCCTAAAGAGCTCATTGGCTTTTCTTACAATGGCTTGTCTTGTAGGGTTGTGACCAATATCAGTGACATATTTAACACTTCAGAGTAGGAGGAAAGTTTGTAAGGAAATTGGCATTGCCTTCATTAGTGGGCTAGGGTACATATGAAGGAGCATCTCATCATATGTATTATGAACAAGGGCAGCTTTAATCACTTGTAAAGTCCCCACAACATAGGCTGAATCAGTGACAATATTGAGAGGCTGAATCAGGGAAATGGTATTTTTTTAATCAATCAAGATTATCTTAGTAGTTAAACTGTTAACAGGCAGCAATTATAAAGTTTATAGAGAAAACTTGAGATCAAGGACAACAAAACACATTATCACAACAATCAGGATGACATTATTATATAAAATGATATGAAGAAATTTTACCCAGACTTGTAATCTTTCAATAAAATGTCACCTAAAAAGAATGCATCTATTCAGAGATGTATTTTATGTGATATTGTTAGACCATATAATGTTTGAGCCTTTTTAAAGTATTGTAGCATAAATATTTAACATATATGTAAGAATCATTTAAGGATAAGCCTTGAAAAACTATCTGTGTCTTTGAAGACCTGTGCACTTGGGAAACAATATTTAATATACTTAATACATCATGAAGCTAGCAATAATGAGTGTCACAAATTAGGTTGAAACTGCCCCAGGAGGCAGCTTTGCCTTGTTTTTTGTCATAGATCTGTCTGGATGCCTCTGCTAGTCTTGCAGAAAAGCTCATGTTCACTATTAATTGTAACAATGACAGTTGCAGCCTGTGTCAGCCAGAGAGGGGAGCTGAGACATGAGGAGGACCAACCAATGAGAGTTAAGGCTGGAGCCCCTCATCTTTCTTGAGAAACAAGGAGCTTTCAGAAGAAATAGTCTGAGCTCCACCAAACCAACAAGCAAACACATATTTATTTTATAAACTGCATCCTCCACAAGCTTTTCATCAACATACTTGAGCTTTCCAGTTCTAACTGTATCTCTCTTTCTAGCAAAGCAAAACTTTTATCATACAAAATCCTTTCATATCAAAAGGATATCTTATAACTTCCTTTGTATATTTTTCTGTATCCTACTTACTATAAACTTTTTAAAATAACAAACTTGGCTGCAGTTGCTTGGATTTTAAAGTGTCTTGTCATTGTTTTTCCTTTGGTCTCAGACTGTTCCACTTTCAAACTTGACTGGCTGACAGGAGACTTTCACATAACCTTGAGTCAGTGCTCTTGTCACCTGCAGAAAGCAGAGGGAAGAACAAGTTAACCCCATAATTGTAACTTAAGATTTTATAAAGCACAAGAAATGTTTTAAGCATGTTAATTAAACAAAATACCAACTTGAGTTGGAAGCTATAAGCAAATTTATCAAGTAGCTAAGATTTGTAAAAACAGGCTCTTTTTCTGACTGGATTGGCTCTCACAACAGAGCAGGAGCATTTTAGGGTTGACTCAGCTTTTACTGGGGCTCAGAGAGTTGGGCCTTTCAGGTTTTTGTAATAAAGTTTCCCTCATTATCAAATTTGGGGCCACACTGATTACCCCAGTGAGGACCTTTTTTACCATTAGGGCATTTTTGCTTTGATTCTGTCTCTTTATCTGGCTTATTGTCTTTACAAGCCTTTAAAAATGTCTCCCTTTGCCATAATTATAATATATTTTAGGCTTTAAAGCAATAGCAAATACTGTACCTTGTAAATCTCAGTTCCAACATTTTGCTAAGCCTTAATCATTTTAGCAATACATAATTTTTAAGGGTTGTAAGGAGTCACAATCAGCACTGGCACTTTTATATACTAGTTGAAGGATGACTTCATCATCAAGAGGCAGTATCTATAGACTATTATTTTTTGTTTTTGCTCATGTATGTGGTTATTTATTCATCATGTCTGTTTTAATTTTTCTTGCATTGGTTTCTGTGTTCTTAACACAACAATCTCTGGTGTTCTAAGTCTTCTGCATGAACCTACTACTTAGACAGAGCTGGCCACTCAAAACTGGTGTGGTACATGTCTCCCCTTCCCCTAGGACCTCTTACAGGAAAGTGTGGAATTTTCCAGATAAGCCCCTATTGTAAAACATAAATTTATTTTTCTAGACCCAAATTGGATTCCAGAGGCTGCAAAACCAATCCTTGGTTTGTATTATTTGAGAATGATGTTGGTAGGCACAACAACGTTGAGAAGCTATGAGTTTTTATTTTTAATTCTCAAGAGTCTGTCCCAGCAATATAGAATTTTTAGTCTCATTTTTATGTTTGTCCCTTGAATTCCAATGAAAAAACTTCTAATTGCTGCATATAGCCAACAACAGGGATTGCACTTATAAAACCAATTTTGATATCCTTTTGATGGGCTGAAAGGAAACATTACCAACTTTAAAGGCATCTTTACTTTTACCAACTTATTTAAATTAGCCCACTGTTAGGCTATGTAAACCAAAAGGCACTGGGCTAATATCATGAGCGTCTATCACAAATCAACTTGGAGGATAAGATATGTCTGAAAGTCAACACACATACAGAAAACATATATATTAGCCTAAATCACATATAACCTATATATTTTCAAACTGTAAGGCTTTTATGTGTAAGTGCCCTTTAAGTCTATTAGTTTTTATTGTGTAACAAGTTTCATTTTGGCTCACTCACTTAAAAGCCAGAAGTATATAAGGTCAAAAATAAAGGAAAAACTAAAATTTATGAGAACTCAAAATTTTGAATGAAGCAGCTTCAGGTACTTTATCAGTTATGAGAACAGATTAACAGGCAGATGGACTAATAAGATCACAAACATAACACATAAACAGTCAGATTTAATCAGAGTTCAATCATGATTTTGTCATGGCTTTGAGTCTTTGTAACAATATTCATAGGAGTTTTCATTTTTAAGAGACATTGTAAATGTTGCTTACATTGCTTTTGCTTCTTAAAGTATGACTCATATTGTAGACAAAGCAAGAGAAATGAAAGTAAAGGAGCAAAGTGAGAAACAAACGAACTGTCCTCACTCACTTAGCAACTGGACAGTTAAAAATCTTCTGGGTTGATAAACCTGAAGCTTAAGCTTCCCTTAAGCTTACATCACAATTTGTCAGATGCCTATGTTCCCTTCCCAGGATGAAGAGTGGATGACTCCTTGCTCCTTTCCCAGGCTTGACAGGCCAGCCCTCCACACTGATTCGCAGCAGCAGTCTTTCCTCACACTACGTGCACCACTTGTTGCAGTCAGCGACTGAGGGAGGCATGGAAGATGAAAAGATTACTCAGACACAAAACTCAGTTCAGTAATCCAGAGGCCCAGAGGAGCTATTTCTCAACTCATAGTACCCAGTCACCAGGGAGACTCTGGGAAAAGAAAGACCCACTGAGCCAAGAACACACTCACCTTTATTTAAAATCTCAGTGTAAGAGGAAGAGCAGAGAAAAGCAGCTTGGTCCAGGAGCTCTCTCAAGGCAGGGCAGTTTTTCATGGAGAACAGAGAAGGACATGGCCAGACACAACATGCTTTACTGATCTAAGCTTCTTGTTTAACCATTCGATTCTTAAATTTGTGTGACTTTGCCCCATAATTTAACCATTCACTCCTCACAGAGCCTGAATTTCTTTTATTTTGGATTAATTATTTGTGTGTTTTTGCCCTGTATTTGACCATTCCCTCCTTGCAGAGCCTGTGCACCTTTGTCCCACAGTTTAACCTTTCAGTTAATCAGTCACTCCTGACCAGGTCCCACTGCCATCTACTCTCTTGGTGTCTCCTATGGCTAATTTAAAAGAAATTCAAGTAAGAGAAATGTAGAGTTTCTCCCTATATTGAGGTATAATGATTTTTCTAGTACATAATCTAGTGAGAAGGGGAGAGAATTTCTTAGAGACACATTAGTCATCTTTTCAATCACTGGACCAAATATCCAAAACCCACAAGTTAGAGAGAGAGCATTTTTTCACTCATCAACTTTAGCTGACTCCTTCCACATTGAGCTGATGCATGGAATCAAGGGGCAGACAGAAGCAATGGCAGAGGAAAGTGTACACCCCATGCAGGCAGGAGGCAGGAGGAGGAGCCAGGGAGAAGAACCCACCTTTGCAGCTCACCCCCCTGAAGTCTCCTCCATCCAGGCAGCCTCCTCACAGCACAATGGGCTCCTGAGCTCCTCAGTGAGTGAACTCACTCTGAATGCATCACTGAGATCCATCACCATCACAGTCAGGAGGCTGTGAGGGGCCTTTTAGGTCTGAACCACAGTGCAGTTGGTGATGTGGTCACAGAGCTGTGACACAGCTGATCAGAGCTGGATTAACTCACAACACAGGGTCCTCTCTTCCTGTGTGAACTGAGTCAAAAGGCTGTGGTAGGAACTGAAAGGATCACCAAAGAGGCATTTTTTACCACATCTTTGTTTGTGTGACTGTGTGTGTGTGTTAGGGATGGGTGCAAGGGTGCTTTTTGTGTATCTCAAGTACACTTTCATGTGTCATTAGTGTATGTAAAATTTAACTATTAGTATTTTCAAATCATTGAGTTAGTCAATAAGCTACAAAGATCTGACCTTTATTTCCTTATTAGTACATGTTTGCAGTACATAATGTTCAGTTCCTGGTGTGGATTTGGTATATGTGCGTAAAACATCTCAATTTCTTCTTCCATCACCCTTTAACTCTTCTCCCTCCCCATCCTCCATCTCTTGATTCCTTCACATTTCAGAAAGGCCTTGGACACTGTATCCTATTCACTTTTAAGGAGATTTCTTAGTGATTTGTTTTGTACAACCAATGAACAAGGACATCAGGCTGACTCTACAGAGATCCCTGAGTTGTGTGTTGCATGGTGGTGGCCTGGGAGTGGAGCTGCCAGTGATGGCTCTGGAGTTGGTGTCAGGAGAACATCAGTCCCAGTCCTTGCAAACCCAGTGGCCTCATGGCCCCCATGCAACAGGCAGTCTCTTCACCACATGGGAAGCTTACCATGGTGTCTTCCACAGTCTGAGGTCCTTGCTGCTCCACAACTCAGGGACCCTGATCTCTCCCTCCTGCTCTGTTTCACCATCTACTACCACATCACTAGGTCAGTGTGACCATGAATCTGAAGTGGGGCTGTTCTGAGAATTCTGACTCCCACAGTGTTCAGTTATTCCAATATGACTCTTATGCAAATGGCCCCAGACAGTACCATTGCTACACATGGGGCACTACAGTGAATTTTTCCTCCAAAGCTAGCCTGCCTTGTGGAAGGAGCTGCTTTCAAGTTCAAACTGACACTGCTCTGCAGATAATGATAAGCATGGGTCTTCATGGGGCTGGTGCTACTGGACTGTTACCACCTGAACTGTAGGTCCTCTCTAGCCTTCCTTTGGACTGTCACAGAAAGGATGAGGAGGAATCCCTTCAAGTTCATGTGTCCACCATTACACTGATAAAAAGACAAGCAAAGTCAGTACAGAACAAAATTGCCTGCCAATATTTTCCATGAGCACATATACAAATGTGCTTCAACAAAATACTAACAAACTAAATTCCAACTGAATTAAAGCTAATGTTCACCATGATCATGTGGGAGTTACCCTTGGGAGGCAATTTTGGCTGAAATTATGTAAATCGATGTGTGATACGCAAAATTAACAACAGGAAGGACAATTCGTAGATAATCTTAAGAGATTCAGCGAGTCATTTCATGTAATTCAACACCCTTTCATGATCAAAGCTCTCACCAAGTTTGGTATAGGAGGAGTGTACCTTAGTGCAACAAAGACATATATGAGATTCCACAGCAAACCTCTAGTCAATGGTGAAAACCTGTAAAGTTTTCATCAAGACCTGGAGAAAGGGAAGGATGTGCACCCTCCTCTTCCAGTCAGTGCAGCACTGGAACCCCAAGAAAGTGATTGGAAAATGGAGTAAAATCCATCCAAGTAAAGAAAGGAAGAAGTGAGACCTTATGTTTGCTGATGACATTCTCTTGCGGAGCACATCCCAGAGAATCTGCAACGAGACTGTTAGGTATGATCAACACATTTTGTAAAGTTAAGAAAAAAGATAAAAAAATCAATAATATTTTTGTACACTAATTAAAACTATCTGAACAGAGATTGCATATAAATCCTAAGCACAATATCATAAAATAAAACATTCACATGTAATTGTAAACAAAGTAGTCAAAGATGTGAACAACTGAAAGCAGTAAAATATCAATTAAAGAATAGTAGATGACATGAATACATGAAAAGGTATCTGAGTTCCTGGATTGGAAGAATCAATACTGTTAAGATGTCTGTCATCCAAAACTATCTACAGATTCAATGCAATTCTTTTCAAAATTAATTTTAATGAAAAAATTCTAAGATTTCTATGTATCAATTAAAGGTTGCAATTATTCAAAGAAATGTTGAAGAAAAATGACAGGGCTGGAATCATCATATTACTTGACTTTTAAGTCTCATAGAAATTTATTGTGATCAAATTACCCTGAGAGTGGCATAGAAGACAGACAAATTGGTACATAAATCAGGAGAGAGAGCCCAGAAATAAACCCTCATCCAAAACCAATGATCCAGTATAAAGTGCTGAGGACAGAGGACAGAGAAAGAAAAGATGAACTCTTCAAGAATAATATTGAAACATTTCATAATCAAAAATAGAAGAATGAAACAGGATCCTCATGTGTTATCATATACAAAAATGAACCTAAGAACGTCACCTAAGAGCTTGTACTGTGTAAATGCTGAAAGAGAACTTAGGGGAATTGCACTCTATTATTCAGTTGGGCAAAATCCTTTTGGATGTGGCTCCTAAAGAACACAAGATAATGCAAACCAGACAAGCAAAATTGACAGGAGATTGCATTAAACTCAAATGTTTTTAGTACAAACAAAAAGGTTCAGTGACAAGACAACTCACAAAATGGGAAAAAGGTTTGCAAAAAATATACTGATACTTGACTAATATGTAAATGTATTAGGTCCTGAAACAACTCAATACAAAGAAAACAAATAATCCAATTCAAGAATTGGCAGAGTACCTACAGAGACATTTCTCAAAAGAAGACAAAAAGTCACCAATAAATACACGAAAGAAGTCTCATTACCATCAGTCATCAGGAAATGCAATTAAAACTAGGAAGAGACAGCACCTCATATTAGTTAAGATGGCTATTGCCAAAAAGACAAAAGGTGACAGTGTGGGTAAGGAACATAGTAAAATCACCCTGGGCTCCATTGTGAATTAGCACAAACAGCATGGAGAACAGCATGAAGATCCTTCAAAACATAAAACCATGAAACCATAAAAAGTTACTGCCTGACAGAAGAATCCCATCTGTGAGTGTGTTTCCAAAAGCACTGAAATCCTTCTACTGAAAGAAAGTCTGAACTCCCTCCTCACTGTGGCATTGTTCACGTAGCTAAGATCAGAAGCAACCTAGGTTCCCTCATCAGATGAGGGGTTAAGGTAATGAGGTGAAATGGCGGAGGGTCTTTCCTGTGCCCCAACATGGCTGCTCCTGGAGGACTCTGCTATGGGAAATCACCCAGGCTCAGAAAGACAAACGCTCCATGATTCACTTATATGTGGAAGCTAACTACGTTGAATTCATAGATCTGTAGAGTAAAAATTAATGTTATCAGATCGAGGCAGAAGGGATTGATGGGTCATGGGTAAATATTGATCAAGGTATACATTTCAGTTAAATAGAAAGAACAAGCTTCAGGGATGTATTTTCACACAAGTGTGATCATAGTCATAATGCATTATATATTTTTCAACTGCTAAAAACAGTAGATTTCAAATCTTTCACACCCAAATTGATAAGTATAATGAGTGATACAGTTCGGTCCTCACATTTTAACAATACATTTTGTGCTAATTATATTACAGAATCCCACTGCATCCCATAAAACTGTTACTTGTCAATAACTAAGTAAACAAATTTACAAAAAATAAAATATTCTAGAAATTAAAAATATCCAAAGTGGGCTGGGGATTTAGCTCAGTGGTTCCATTGTCTGCCTTGCAAGCGCAAGGTCCCGAATTTGATCCCTGGTACCAAAAATAAAAATGCCCAAAGAAAAGATCTGAGTTTCAAAATTGAAAAATATCTAACTAGTACTAGTATATTAACTAAAAATATAAAAAAATACAGTATGGAATTTTATGAATCCTCTGACAAAATGTGCTCTAGGTAAAGTCAAATCAGTAAGAACCAGAGTGAAATAACTTTATCTATTAACCATGGAAATTAAAAATAAGTCTATTTGTTCATTCAAATATATGTAGAAAAGTAAACCTGGACAGAAAGTTTACTTATAAATTATAATAGAAATAAACAACATGGCAAAATAAACTCATACAAAAACATTCAAAAGTTCAGAAATGTTAACCTGGTACCTTTATAAGACTGTTATTTATATATGATTCAGAGAGTGATTTTTTTTCTTTGAAAACAGTTATGCAGATGACCCAGATAGAGATATATTTTGAAAAGACCCATGGATATATTAGCTTGGTTGGGGCAAATATTTCAATGAATACAGAAACCAAACCAAGATTTGCAACTTACACTCACACAAT